CAGATTTTTAAAAATTACTTTGGACAATAAGATTCCTATTGTTATTTGGCCACATAGTAGATAGATATCACTAACTATTTCCATTTATAAAAGCCTTGTGCTATACACATTTAATGTGGGAACCAAAGAAATTTTCCTGTAACAGGCAGAGCAGACTACTTGTAGTAACTTCGCTAATTAACAATGACTGTGCTTTCTACTAGAAATGCAAAGCCCTTAATGCAACACCTTAAGCAGGGGCCTAGGGTTTGTCTGTGAAACTTCAGATATGCTAAGCAAAGAGGCAAAGGAAAGGACAGGATTTGGGAGTTTATGTATAAGAGGAAAGAGAAGACAGGGGTATGGATTGAGGGTAGAGTTGCTTAGCATTCATAAGGACCTGAGTTGGATTCTTGGCCCCAATCTTCATTAAAGTAGGCTAAAAATGGTGAGGAAGAGGAATAAAAATAAATGAAAATGGTGAGAAAGAGAAGGAGGAGGAAGAGAGAAGGAGGCAGCAGCCCAGGCTTAGACATATTGGTCTACAACCCATTTAAAGCTGAAGTTAGGGCTCAGATGGAGAAAACCACTCTGTGCGATATGTATTTGACCTTGTGTGGTTATAGGAGCTAAGTGACCTGTTGCTGCATCTGAGGTCAAACCTGAAGACAGAATGGCAGGCTGTCACCTCCAGTGTCGATTGCTCTCTTCAGAGGAGCCGCTACGCTTTACCATGGTGGTGCACTTAAACTTGTCCAGATGGTGTTGTCTACTTCATGTGAATGAATTTACTATCATGTCCATTCCGTGGAAACTAAGACCTCTAGACCAACAAAGTAGAGGCAGGAAGCAGATTTCCATAGTTTATTGCTTATTACTAAATTTGATATAAGAGAAGCTAATTGCCTACATATCTTTCTTCGTGTGTGTGTGTGTGTGTGTGCGCGCATATGTTTGCATGTGCGCTTGCTTATGTAGGAGCCTGTGGAGGCCACAGATTGATGTTGAGGGTTTCTGTGTTGCTCTCCATCTTATTTTTCTGAGATATGGTCTTTTCCAGAACCTGTAGCTCATTGGTTGGCTAGAATGGCACACCAGTAAGTCCCAGGAATCCTCCTGACTCTGCCTTCTAGCATACGGACTATAGGTATGAGCTGCCACCCCCAGCCTTCACCACAGATGCTGCTGTTCTGAATTCAAATTATCTTGCTTTCACAGCACCTTACCCTTCTGTCATCCCCCCAGTCACCTCATTTGTACCTCTTGAATTCTAGAATAGGAAATCCCACCAATTGGAAAAGAGACTGCACATAAGTTGGTGACTTAAAGTATGTTACTTTGGTCTTCCCAGCTGTTTACATCTAGCTGACACTGGAACTGAATCTTCAAAGGCCATCTCACTGAACTGTAAGGACAACTGCTTCAGAGAGATGAGGAAACCAGAAAAACCAGTGAATTCCATGAGCACCAGCCTCTGCTGCACTTAATTTTCTGTACACTGCTGGCTTTGTAACAAGTGGAGAGACTATAGCATTCTGCAGGTCCTGAGATGCCAGCCATAGCAGAAACACTACAGGAAGTTAGGGGAAACCCGCAGCCGGAATTGATGCCCATTCCAATGATTGCAAAGTGTTGATGCCATCCCTCAGAAAGGAGCAAAGTAACTCCAGTGCAATCAGCCTGTCACCAAGTGACCATTCAGCAGTACATGGGGAGTGGAGCCATGCTGGGGGCTCGAGGTTGCTCAGTATTGCGGGCAGGCTGGGTCCTTAATGTAGATAAACTCAAGCTAGCCTTGATGGGTGGAGATGAATATAACCGAGCTCACTTATGGCATTTGCCTTTACTTTTGTGTCTACTGTATACTAGAGAACAGGTTAAGCTGGAGTGAGAAACTGACTGAAGTCCCTGTTACAAACCATCCTGTATGCCCTGATCCTTAGATCCTCTTTCCTGAGGTGGCTCAACTGGTGCACATTCAGAAAGGACCGTTCAAAAATCCCTTCTCCAGACGTAATCATCATTAATTTTCCAATATGGGTTCTTCTAAATCCTGACCATCTAGACAACCTGCTCACTGCAGCTTAAGAAAGACCACACCCGCTCATTCTAAGCAAAGAGCACGATCAGGTACACTACTTGGAATTTTAGCCATTGGTATTTACCCTTGAATGGGACTTTAGTGGTTTGCCTGTTGGGTTTGCGGAAATGCTATCATAACATGAAGACCTATACACAAACTATGAGCAGTGGATTCCTTCCAGAACCAAGAGATAATTCTCCCCGCCCCCTGCAATAAGGCCATGTATTTATGTCAAGATGGAAGAGGCAATGAAGCAGGATGAAAAACCAGGAACGCCAGCATGTTTACACATCTTACACGCAACTCCCTTTTGCCTTCAGGAATCTATCACAACCCGATCTCACATTATGACTTCCATCTCATCACCGCATACCTCTGTCCATGGGCATCATTAGGAACCAAATGCAGGTCTCTTTCTCCTATAACTGGAACTATGGTGTCACAATGAAGTGAGAGCTCAGAGCAAACAGAAGCCATTGCATTCCCGTAGAGGGAAACAGCAAGTGACTGTCATTCACACCAGGTCTACGGGCACATGGTATTGTCCAACAGCCTTGATCTCAAGAATAGTGTGGGTTTGATGAAAGAACTGTGACCTGTGCAGCTCCGGAGAAAATGACAATGCAGGGGATACGTGATATACACCTCTGGAGATAATAACCTGTGACTGGTAAAAGGCTCTCCCAAATTACATATAATTTACACTGTGTGTAATTTAAGTAAATAGGTACTTCCCAATTTCTTTTCTGTTCATGGTGCATTCATATCGTAAAAACAAAGATCATCCTCTTTGTTGGTTCTTTGTTTTCTCAATATTTAGAAAAATACTAAATAAAGGATGATAACTACTCAAAGCTGTAGAACATTTATCCCACCATCAACCTGGAAGGATTCTGCATCATGTTTTGAACAATGTTGTAAGTCATAGATGTACCTCATCATAACTGCTCCTGATTTAGGAGGTCAATTCTTGAATCTATAAAGAGAGAAATTTATAAAGAAAATAAAAGAAGAAAGCATATTTGTTCCATCAACTATAGGAAAATGGGTTTTAATGAAGGAAACAGTATGGGTAGCTTCAGAAAAGCCTTGTTTAGATGGGAGTGTCACCATTTTATCCATCATGAACTAAAAAAGAAAATCTCCTCCTAAGGAGCCCTCCCTCCAAGTATTGGAATGACAATGCTCTAATTTTTAAAAGTAGATTTAGTGTATAATTTCCCCCACCCTCTATTCATTCTCTCTCTCTCTCTCTCTCTCTCTCTCTCTCTCTCTCTCTCTCTCTGTGTGTGTGTGTGTGTGTGTGTGAGAGAGAGAGAGAGAGAGAGAGAGAGAGAGAGAGAGAGAGAGAGAGAGAGAGAGAGAGAGCTCATGGGTATGCACACCCATGGAGACCAGAGGTCAACATCAAGTGTCTCCCTCAGTCAATCCCCACCTTATTCTTTGAGGGTCTCATTCTTTGAGACAAAGTCTCTCACTGAACATCCAGCTCATTGACTCTGCTAGAACTAGAAGCTGGCTGGCCTGAGAACCACCCAGACCTTCCCAAGCACCGGGGTCACAGATGAGCGCCATTGCACGTGGCTTTCTACATCCGTGCCAGAGAGCCAAACTCAGGTCAGAGCTGCTCGTGCAGCAGCTTCAAGAACCTTCTTTCCAGTCTATCAGGTGACTTTCAGTCTCTGTATTCTCAATGGCCTACAAATTCTTACCCCGTAATGGACATACACCGTGACTTAACAAATGACCAATGGAAATGAAAGAGTACAGTCACTTCCAAGGCAGCAGTAAAAGGAGATGACAGTGACAAGGGCCACCGCAGAGCTGTTGCTTACACCAACTCTGAAGATAGTCCCAGCATCATGGTTCAGGGGAAGGTGAGTGTGGCTTCAAAGACTATTTCAAATTTCAGAAGTCCCCCTAACACAGCCAGTGCTACTCCCTGGGGACACCTGCCACCAGAGTTCTGAGAAGCCAGCCTACATGTCATGTTTCCCCTCAGCTGACTACAAAGTAGAGGGGCCCACTGATCAATGAAGAATCAATTGTGTGTGTCACACATGGAGCGACAGCAGCAGGGGAAAGGGAGACAAGGAGCGACAGAGCAAGGGGGAGGCTCATTTCACAAGCAACTAGGCCACCATGGCCAATGATCAGACTTGTAATTCTGTCGTCCACATTGTAGAGGATGCTTACAGTAGACATGGGTCAACACGCAAAACCCTTCATTCCCACGGCAAGCTGAGCTCGAAAGAGAAGCTCTGTGCAATTAAGGCTTGCTGGGATTTTTATTTTCTTTTCACATATGGCAATATTTATCTTCAAAGTTCTCCTCTCTGGCTCCCAGGCTTCCTTGTGAAGGGCTGGTCCTGTGTGGCCTCACTGTGACATGACTCGTGTGATTCGGTAGCTTATGTGTCCGGCGGTTGGGGGGAATTTATAAACTGCATGCTATGTCCTAAACTGTTTTCTTTTTTAGTAAGAAGCCACGCTTCCTCCAGTGGTCATGCCTGGGATTAGAATTAGGTGGAGCACTAGAGATATTTCTATCCTCACTTCCTCTGCTCAGCAATGACATTAAACAAAACAAATTCTTGCAGTTAAACAGAGAGATGGCAACAGGGCCTGGACAGACAAGTGGGGTGGGAAATTAAGACATGATTAGTCTTTGTTTCGTGTAGGAGAGCTCACTAACAAATGCTCACATCTGACTACTCTGAGCCGCAAGCCTCCTCTAATTAGTCCTGGCTGTGCTCTGGAAAACAGAATAAAATATGGAGTCTCTTAAAAAAAAAAAAAAAGCCTCTTTGGCTAATTTTGGTCTGTCTCTGGACAGACATTAATAAATGGTCTCCGTTGTGACACTTTCTTTTAATGATGAAATGTCTACAGAGCTGCCAGACCTATTATAAAGAACAAAACAAAACTCTAAAAGCAATTTATATCCTCATTTTTTTCTTTTATTAAAAAGAAGTTCCTCATATGTTTTCTTGTCATTGCCATTGTCTCCCAATAATAATATTTCTGAAGGGTAAATGGAACTTTCAAAGTACCTGGGAGGAAATAAAAAACCCTGATAAATCTAGAATCTTGGATGGGGCTTGAAGTTTCGAATGTTGAGCAATGTGGGGGCTGGAGAGAGGGTTTGGCAGCTAAGAGCGAGTACTGCCCTTACAGAGGACCTGAGAAGAGTTCCCACACACGTGTCCACCTGTAACTTCGGTTCCAGGAAATCTGGCCCCCTCTTCTCGCCTTTGTGTGAACAAATGCACGCAGAGAGCTGGAGAGAAAGGCCTGGGGAGAAACAGGGCAATGATAACGAGTCAACATACTAGCTCCATCCAAGCAGGTTCCATTTAATATTATGGAAATCCCTTGCCGTTGCTAAACTTCATTCCCAAGGAAAATTTAAACAACCACCTATGACCCAACAGCAACATTAACAACAAAAGTTTTGATATTGGTCCAAATTTTGGCCTAAGACTCTATAGTCTTCACATGGGTCCCAACTAGTCACAGGCTCCACCCTGTCACCAAGGCTCCAAACAAGCCTTCCAGTCCTTACTCCAATCCATTTCTTTCTTAGGACACCAGGGTTTGTACACTAGCCAGCAAAGACCACTTCCTGCATGCTCAGTTCTCTTAACAGGACCCACCCTTCTTTTGCTGCTTTTTAGTTCTAATATTCATGGGACCTCAGCTGGAGACAAGCATGTGTCCCTAAAGGCTCATATGAGCCAATCCATCAGAGATTCCTATCGCCTTTGATTGTAAAGCCTTTGTCCCGAGGACAGGAGAGTGGTTGTGTTGTCTCCCAGTTTCTTCAATCTCTCATCTGACTGATTCCATCTTATCCCATGGCTCACAGCTTCACAAGTCAGGGCTCCCTCTGCTCATCTAAAAGTCTCCCGTCGCTCCAACAGCTCTGGGCTGCATGGTCTCTGATTACCTGGTCACCAGCACTGGTCCATTTTTAAGACCTCCATCAATATGCTGGATCATAGACCTTCCATTTCTCTACATTAAAGGTGGGCCCGACGAGTATGTGCGGTCACTTCCCCATCTCTGCCTGACTCCTCCCATAGGATCCAGGTCTGGGAGTCCCAGAAGGAGCTCTTGTATTACCGGTTTAATCTGGGTCTTCTTCCTCTAGTGAATCCCTAGCAATAAAAAAGAGCTGGTCCACACCTCCATTTCTCTGTGTCTTTTATTCCATTTTCTCTGCTAAGTTGGAGGCCAATACTGAACAAACCAGCTACATGGCCCTCTCTTGCTGCAATTACCCATTTTTACCTGTTCTCCCCAGGCTCTCCTATAGAGGTCTCCTTCCCCATGAGCTAACTCCTACAGAGACAGACCACGGCATCACAAGGACCTCTGCAAACACCACACTCATGCTGTTTTATTTCAGTTGTCCACCCCATTGTCCTCCCACACTCCCATACTTATCTTCTGCAGGCTACAGCAAGGGTTGCTAAAATCCTTCTCTGGGGGAGCCATAAAAATGTTTACTGCCCCCCCCCATTCTAAATTCTCAAAAACAAATCAATTCTATGACAGTTCACTCTGGGAAATCAGTGAATTTATTGGGCTTCCTTACAGAGCACGGGTAAGGGATAACTTAATGGAGTTGTGGATACTTTCCCCCATAAGAAAGTCTTTACCTAGCAGAGATGATGACTTTTTCTCATAGCTGCATAAATGGAGGCTCCCCTTTCTTCCCCTTCCCTGGTCTCTATACTCCAGCCTCTCTCAGAGGCCATAGCAGTCAACTGAGGTCTTTTGCCCTTCCTGCCACCATGAGGTCGACATGCTAGTTCACGCGAACAGTTTCCGAGCTCAGCTGGGACCACCTTTGGCAAGTGGACACAGCTGAACTCTGAAAGATGGTGGCCGTTTAACTCAAAGAACCATCCTTTTTCAACACTCATAAACCAAAGTTTGACACTCAGAATTTGAAGTTGGGCACATGGATCTTATCAATAACCCCACATGTGGTCTGAATCTTGAGGTGACACGGAGTAAGCTCATGGGAATTTAAGGGTGTAACCCAAAACATTGTCCAATGCCCTGAATCTCACCGCTCTGGTCCAAGCCACTGCTCTCCAAGCACTGTTGGAACCATTTCCATCTGCCCAGCTGAGCAGCTGAGTCACTCATGTGAACGCTGTCCACTGGCATAGAACTCCAACACGTAGATGGGAAATGTCTCCACGATCATGTCATCCGAGTCACGACAGGATGCGATGAAGTTCCCAACCTCTCGCCTTTAGTGTCTAGCGCAGGCCCTTTCAACCCTTAAGGCAGCCTCAGCCATTGTTCTGACATTCTTTTCTCTCTGTGCTGCAAGAGTTGCTTGAGAGAGATCTGGAATACTGTCAATAAACATCAGATGAAAGACATGCTGTTCCCTCCCAGTATATGCCTGCTAGATGTCTGTCTCTTAGAGAAGCCTTCTTACCTTTCTCTCTAAATCAATCAGGGAAGCTTGGCCATTATCCTAGTGTGTCATCATCCAGCTTAAGTGAATGATTTCATTGACTGGAATGCACCGAGTGAGTGTGTGCTAAGGCATAGCATGAGGTTGAATACAATTAAAGACTCAATAATAAAGGGCAAATACCGAAGGCTCAGGGAACGAGTCACTTACACAAATTCAAAAGAGCAATCCCCGACAATGTGTGATTTAATGACAAATACATAGAGGAGTTAAAGGAGGGTGTAAACAGAATAGGTCATAGAAAGTTTAATAGAAGCTGTGATGTTTAGAAGAAAATCCACGTGTGTTCCACCTTGGTAAAGGCAGGATTTCTCTTCTAGGTATTATGGATGGGACTATCAATGTAATCTTAAGAACTGTGAGATGTCTCGCATCACCTCACCACCAAGTTAGAAAACCAAAAATTATCCCATAGAGAACAACTGGGTAATGATGATAATCACCAGCATGACTTTCTCAGTTCAGCTTTAGAGAGAGAAGGCCAGACAGCCAAGCATGCATGTGGAGTGCATGCGCAAAGATGCATGGTGGAAGCGATGGACAGATAACAGCCAGGAGCTGTGTGTGGGGAAATCTAGAAGAGGCAGGCCTGGGGCCAGAAGTAACACAACGCGTAATTAGATCTAGTTTTGCTCCTGGGCTGATGTCTTGAATGTAAATAAAGTGCTCCCATCTTTAAAGTGGAGGGTTTACAAAAGTAGGTTGTTTGAAATTCTTCCAAATAAAGGGAGCAGATGGCTGCGTAGAACTAATTATCACAGGAGGCCTGCAAATCTCTTTGCAGACATCCTCAGGTCCTATAGGAGTGAATATAATAACAGGTGTGCAATCGGAGTTCCTTCTTTACCATGGTAGATTTTGCCTATGAAAGCTAACCAGAGTGCTAGGAATATATTGCTAGATGGTACATTTCAGAACAGCAATGTTTTCACAGTTCATCATAAAATCTGTTCCCAGAAGGCTTTTTTTCCCAGCATGGTTTCACGTGGGTAAAATCCCAGTCAGTGCCACTCACAGCCTCTGGTTTCCGCTGAGTGCCCAGTGGAGCAGATCGGCTTCGAGGGAGAAACTGCTGCCTACAAAACCTTTGTCACTCTGAGGGTGACTCTGGAGGTAGGGACAAGAAAGGGCACTAGTGAGGGCTGACGCCATAGGGCCTCATCTGTATCCACAAAGGGACAGCTCCAGCAGGCTCTGTGTCTCCCAGACTCCTTCTGTAATGGTTCTGAAAGGCCGCGGGCAACCCAGTGAGTCACGCAGAAATACATCCTTTGGAAACAAAGAAGGATGAAAGAACCCTACTTGACCTCCACAAGTTGTTCAGAAGTAAGCCGCTTCCTGCTTTTGCTTGTTTTCAAGTCTCCAGGCAGACAGGTACTGAGAGGAAACAGGGGGTGTCAGTCAAGGTCATCCATTATAAGGGCATTCCAGGATTCCAGGAGCTGAAAACGGGACTGTGGGCTGTGGGAGCCTGGCCAGTCTTGTTGAATTTGTTCTTTTTTTTTTTTTTTTTGGATTGGCCTCCAGCCCCAGAGAAGCAGCGGGGCAGAAACAATACTGATTCAGAAAGTCTAGGAGCCAGATGCCCTGCTGGAAAGAGAGGGAGAAAGGGGGTTCTGGCTGTATTGGGTGGTTGGCGGGACACGACTTCGGCCTTCTAGCTTCACTTGTACAGGAAAAAAAAAATAGCAGAATCTTCTCAAGTTTAATAAAAAAAGAAGGGGGAAATAAAATCAGAGTTTTAGCAGCTTTTGAAAAGGAGTGTTCCTTTTCTTGTGATTTCCAGGGTGTTCTGGTAGCCTCCAATTTAGCATGCCACAAGGTAAAACAGTCTTAAGAGATTTCTCCTTTCCTCTCTTGTGAGATGAGACCATTCTGATCCATGGGTTGGGCAAAGATCAGCGTTAAGGATTTTGATTCATGAGGTCTTTGAAGTTATTAATCAATATTAGGGATGATTTTGCTTTGACTTTGCTTTCAAAGGCATTTGCTTTTTAAAACGACAACAGCAACAATGTGAAGCCCTTTCCTCGGGCCCACAGTCGACTCCTCCAGGACTATTCTTAGGTTGATATATGAGGAATTCACTCACCACTCCCTGCAGGATTAAGGAGCACTGACCTTTGGAATGAACGCGCTCTTTATGTGCACGTCAGAGTATTTTTAAGAATGGGAAAACCCGGATACAGATAAACAACAACCAGTTCCAACGAGAGTTCATTTCAGACCTGAGATTTCAGAGTCTCTAAAACCACAGACACCCGAATGGCTCTCACCCCAGTCACATGCCTTCCGGTCTCCTCTGTAGCCTCTCCACCCTTTTAGCATGCGCTCACACTCATGAACACACACACACACAAATCTTTGGATCTTTTTGATACAGTCTAACTATGTAGTCAAGGATAGCCTTAAACTCACTGAAATCTTTTTTGGGGTGTGTGTGTGTGTGTGTGTGTGTGTGTGTGTGTGTGTGTGTTGAAGGTGAGAGTGAAGATAACACACAAACATGTCCCTTTGGAGGCTTGAATTTGTATACGGTTCCTCCGGAGCTGTTTACTTTTATTTTTGAGACAGGGTCTCTCACTAAGTCTAGAGTTCAAACTGACAGGCTGGTTAGCCAGTGAGCAGCCGGGATTCTCTTGTTTTTCCCTCCTGAGAGCTGGCATTACAAAGGTGTGCTACTATTAGAAGAGGATGTCCACAGTATTGAACAAAGAAACACACAAACAAAGCAAAAGGAACTTAGCAAGGCAATTCTTTCTGTAAAATGGGGGAGCCAGAACCCAAACCGAGCTAGCAACACCCTGGGGCCAAGACGACTCCCATCTTTGGTCTTCGACATAAGTGGCAACCACATCTCATTGCATTGGTGGGAAATCAACTCCACAATCCAATGTGATTTGCTAGTTAGAGGAAAGAAGAGTGTGTGCGCACACACGTGTGTGGGGTGTGTTGGAGGGGCGTTCAAGAAGCATGAGTCCTTGCCAGGCTAACTGCCTTTGATAAACAACAACTACAACAGGAAACCGGAAGTGTTTCTCACTCCACTATGCCTGACTTGGAGCTGGGGATGAATCCAGATCTTCACATTTTACCAGCTAGTTCCTTCTTAAGCCTGGATCCTCTTGCCTCGGCCTCCCGAGTGCTGGGATTACAGGCATGCACTAACATACCTGGCTAATGTCTAGTTTTGATAAGAACTCAACCCACAGGGAGGAGTCAAATTCTATGTTTTCTTCTGATGAAAGCCCCGTCTTCAGGAGGCTTTCCCACAAACCTTCTGCAAACGTGGCTGACTGGCAGCAAGCTCTCCTGTAAGCGCTCAAATCTGGCTATTTCTCCTAGCAAGTCTTGGCAGAATGGGAAAGTTTGGCAGATGCTGTCCCTTCTGATGCTGTTATTGTTGTCCAGTCTCTGGAAATGTGTCAGACGGCCATTGAGAAGAATCGAGATTCCTTACATGATATGGCTTATGCAATCTATAGTGGAGGGAAAGTAAGAACCCTGGAGAGTTTCGCTCACTGGCGCTGACCCGGAGCACTCTACAGAGGTATGCGCGTGTCTTCCCACGCCCTGAGTCCATCTAAGTACGGAGTGCGGGCTAACAGGTCTCCCACGTCACCCTACAAAAGGACATCTGCTGCCCCTACAGAGCTAATGGACTCTAAAGATAGCATGGACTCCAGCCCACGCTGGAAGGAGCTGGTTTTTCTCGCCGCCTCTATTCTAGTCATCTCGGCGTGGCTATGCTGCAGAAACGGCATCCTACCCATTAAAAAAAATCCTGGTCAATTAATAAAAATATCTGGTATTTCTTTCAAAATAACCTAGTGGAAAGAAAGGGACTGTAAGCAGAGATACAGGCCAGTCATAGCTGAGTGGAGCAGGGAGCGGTTTCTGTACCTTTCTTATTCCTTTGGTGTATGTTTGAAATTTGCCATAATAATAAATTTCAAAACGCTTCATGGAGCTATTCATTTATTTTGAGTCCCAATTCTAAGAGTGTTCTCTTTCAAAAAAAAAAAAAAGGAATATTTTCTTTCTTAAGATACTGCCTCTCTGTGTATTTACTTTAACAGACGAAGTAATGGATTTCATTATGGCATTTTTATGCATAAATGTCATTCATTATACTCCGTCCTAATCCATTCCCTCCCCAACTGCTTTCCTTTAGCTCCCCCATATGTAGTTTCTGCTTTCATGTCTCATGCATTCCACGACTCTCTCGTTTGAAAATACATTGTCTAAGGCAGGCATGGTGACCTACACCTGTAATTCTGCTGTCCTGGCCCTGAGGGGGTGGATGCGGAAAGCCTGAGTCTGAACTCTCAGAGCTATGCTGAGATACCCTGAGTACAACAGCAATAGACAAATGCGCAGTTTCCTAGTTAAATTCACAACCGAGCTTGGGGAACCTGAAGGAGAGCCTAAACAAGAAGAGACACAAGTGTTAGCTTTACCAGGTACAGAGAGATCTTAGAGAACTTCTCTTAGCATCCCTGGATTCAGCCATTTCATATGTAACCAGTGATAGTCATGCCCACCGTACCATACAGCTGTGGAAGCTACGGAATCCAAAATGGAGACCAAGGGCCCCATACAGTAGGTGCTCAGCAACAAACCTGAGGCTCATTTCTCACACACACACACACACACACACAAAAATCCATAGAATACACAAGGTGAGTTCCAGGACACCCAGGTTTACACAGAGAAATTCTGTCTCAAAAAGGAAAGCGAAACAAACAAAAAAGTTTAATTATATAAAACAATCATATCCTATATCTCCTCTCCTACCAAAAATAAAAAAGAAAATCAAAACTGAATAGATATTTGCTTAGATATGTATTTGTCCTACATCTATTGAGCACCATTTGTATGCATTTAATGGTACTGGTTGCAATACAGACTAATAGAAGATCATTGTTCTAGGGTTCTGTAATCTAGTGGTAGGCATATGAATTTGTGTCCCCTTGGGGAAGAGCTAAAATAGGGATAAGTGTGTAGAAGCCCTGGTGTTCTGGGAGGAAACTGTGAGTTCGGCTGGGAAGGGGTCAGTGAGTGGCTAATCAAACACTTAACTAGGGCATCCCACTGGCACGTAAGCCCTTCTCCATAGCCTCGCTGGGCTCTCAACCAGTCTTCTGCCTCCTTTGGCCATATCCTAGGTAACCGATGGGAAGCCACTGAAACATATCATCCACAGTGGAAGAAAACCAGAATAGCTTCTGGCTTGCCCATTCGTTTCAAGACAGTTCATCTGCACTGCTAATAAACAGAGAGAAAAGCTGTGGTGAGACACAGGGCAGCCTGGAAAGTTCAGCTGAGGGGCCCCGGGAGGCAGCGGGGTAGGGGAGCCCTGGCAAGCCTCCCTGGACATCAGGAGACTGTCTCTTGCAGTTTCTGCCTTCAGTCAGGGGACAAAGAAGGCTTGGAAACTGACGGAGAGAGCTAGCTGGCAGGAAGGCAAGGGTGCGGAGAAAGGCAAGACTCCAAGTCACTGGTCCCTCCTATTTTCTATTGGCACTATAAATACCATTCTAAAATGTTACGGTAACTTAAGGAGTCTCTTTTAGGAAGCATTTGGTAGTGAGTCACCAGATAGCTATGTGTGCACCCCGCGGTGACTCCAGAGCTCTGCCCCAGGCTCTCAGGACAGTTTGTTTTAGAAGGCCCCCCACCCCCACCCCTCCTGTGACAAGGAAGAGTGTTTACCTTTGGCATACAAGGTCACCTTTGCTGTCCTGGCTGCAGAACTTGCTCTTCCTTCCTCCTCGCTCTGGGAACTTCTAGGAGAGGAAGAGACAGGTCATAAACCTGGATGACCTTGAGTGGAATCCACGTTTAGGAAGAGAAGGCTGAAACTAAAAGCAGTGACTGGACAGTTTCCGGAGCAAGACTGCTCTGGGTAGTCTTGTGTGTCACCTTGGCACAAGCTAGAGTCATCAGAGAGGAAGGAGCCTCAGTTGAGGAAAGGCTTCCTTAAGATCCAGCTGTAGGGCATTTTCTCCATCAGTGATCAATGGGGGAGGGGCCAGGCCACCGTGGGCGGTGCTATCCCTGGGCTGGTGGTTTTGGGTTCTATAAGAAAACAGGCTAAACAAGCAAGGGGAAGTAAGTTAGTAAGAAGCACCCCTTTATGGCCTCTGCATCAGCTCCTGCCTCCAGTTCCTGCCCTGTTTGAATTCCTGTCCTGGCTTCCTTCAGTGATGAACAACAGTGTTGAAGTTCAAGCCAAATAAACCCAGTCCTCCCCAACTTGTTTTTAGGTCATGGGATTTTGTCACATCAATAGAAACCCTAATGAAGACAAAGATCTCTTTTGGGTCACAAAAAGGAAACTGGGTCCTGACCTCAGTGCAAGGAAGCTAGGGACCATTCGTTCCCAAATATGCTCGGTGCGCTTTCATCTGGTGTCGCTCTTACAGCTGTGGCCAAGCCACCATGCTGGCCACATGCCCACGTCAGTTCTGCACACTTCCCCCTGGGAGCCCTCCCGTTAATAAAGTTCTCCAGTCAGTAGCTACCACCAAGGCTCTGTACTGCAGACACACGTTAGCACCCAAATGACAGAGGAAGGACCTTTGAATTATATTTAATCCTGCCAAGCCTTGTGCATTGCTCACTGGTCTTAGGTTGCTACCTTTTAAATAAGATGAGCTATTGTCTACCAGCGACCCATCTACTGCATGGACATTACACAGAAACGGTAATTTATAAGCATGGCTGCTCCATGTCCTCACAGATATGGGGGAGGCCTGTCACATTCGGCACATTGTCGTGCTGACCTAAACAGTGCATAAAGGCACAGATCCAAGGGACCATTGCCTGCCTCTTTGTGTGTGCTTAGCTTCTCCTAAGACCTATGTGACTTAAGCCAATTGACTCGTGATTTTTCTTTGTTTGGCTTGAGACAGAGTCTCTCTATGTACACACGACTAGCCTGGAACATTCTATGTAATTCAAACTTACCTTGAATCTACAAGGCTCTTAGTTTGCTTCTCAGTTGTTGTGATAGATACCATGACCCAGAACAACTTGGGGAGGAAAAGTCCCTTTCTGCATTCCCCTCTGGGTCACAGTTCATCCCTGAGAAAAGTCAGGGCAGGGAGCCCCAGAAGAGGCCGCTGACTTGCCTGATTTGCTTCCTTTGGTTTGCTCAACCTGTTTCTTATACAACCCGGGATGGTCTGCCCAGCGGAGGCACCACACATGGTGGGCTTGGCCGTGCACATCAATCACTAATACAGAAAATGCTCCGCAGACTTGCTTGTGGACCAATATAATGGAAGCAATTATTTAGTTGTGGTTCCCTCGGCTCAGATGACCTTAGATTGTCTCAGGTTGTCAAAAATTATAACAAGCGTAGTCAGTTCAGAATGTTTTCCTTCCTCACCAATATTTCGATGTAACTGTTTCTCCGTGTGAGGGGTAGCAATGCAGTGCTAGCTCAGCCATTAGCTCCCAGCCACACGTGGTGGCAGGCATAAGCCCGCGTGAGTTGTGACGTGTAGAGCACACACCAGATCTTAAAGGCAGGACTCTGAAAAGCAAACAGACGATTTCTCAATAATCAAGATTTGCATATAGCCTGTTTTAAAGCAATAATTATTTTTGGTGTGCCATATCTAAAATTATTTTTTCTGTGCTTTTTAATAAGGACGCTGGACTGTTTGAAATAGACATGCGGCAGACTTCCTGTAGGATTTGAGGGCTGAATCTGTAGAGCTCATGTGTCTGTTGAAGCAACTCAGCCAAAGTCAGGATATAGGTAGCCTCTTCTGGTTTGGGGGCTAGAACCTCTCTGGCTACATCCCTAGGAAAGAGGAATCAAGGTCTTTCCGAGTAGGCTACTGTTTACTGAGACTCTTTCCCATGGTATCCAGGAACTGTGCTAGCTATTCTATAGACACCTGGATGTAGTCCAGACTATGGCTTTTTGGGTGGAGGAATCAAACCCAACCTTGCCCTTCTACATACAGAGGTTGTCTCACATCTCATATCCCAAGAATCGCTAACTTCATATCGGTGTTTGTGGGCATGAAAGTGAATGAGTGTACAAGTGTGTACCCTATGTAGGAGCACACACATGTAGAGGCCAGGGGTCAATGTTGGCTCTCTTCCCCAATCAATCACTCTCTACATTATTATTGTTGTTGTTTGGATATTTTTGGGTTTTTATTTGATTTTCTTTGCTTTTTTTTTTTTTTTTTTGAGACAAGCTCTCTCTCTGAACTTTAGTGGTATTGATTCGGGTATGAGCAAGCAAGCCTTGGGGATCCTCCTGTCTAGAATGACAGGTACACAATGCTTCACTTAGATTTCTTTTCTTCACATGAGTTCTGGGGATCTGAACTCAGGTCCTTACCCTTGCACACTGAGTGTTTTCCAGAGTGAGCCGTCTCTTCAGTTTGGAATTGTTCGTTTTCATAATTGTGGTACTCCCTGAAAGATGAGTCTGGGAAAGAATAGGTATAGTAAAATTGTGGGACAGGAAGTATAAAAGGGATTATGAATAGGTTAACACTAAAGCCTAACTTTTGTAGGAATATCTAGTTTGGAAATCATAATTATTCATAGGAGGGGCCGAGCTATGTACTGCAGTCCTCGACAATGGTTTTATCTTCCTTTCATTGGCTTTACTTTTCGCACCTTCCCTCCCCTCAGGGAGGGCAATTGGCAGTGAAACAGAGTGACAGACCGGCCCTGATGACAGTGGAGGAGGAAGAAGAGGATTCTTCTCGCCCAAGGAGACTCCGAATGCACTTACGAGAGACTTTAAAACTCAACCCCAAAGAAGCCAAGATCATCTACGGGCCACATCCCCCTAGTCTCATTAAAGAAAGTCTTCTACTGTGTCAGTAAAAAAATATTCTATTTAGTAGTTGACTATAAGAGGAATGATGGTATGGTCTTTTGTAAATGAGAACACAGAGACACAGATGCTCTCCTCATAGACATTCCTCATCTCTTGCTCATGCTGTCCACACAAAATATTATTTGCTTTTAAATTTGAATATTATCTTTAAACAATAACAAACTTAAGCTCCCATCTCCGCCTTCCAAGATCTAAGATTCCAGGTTTGTACCAGCTTTCCTGGCCATGATGTACGTTTTTTTAACTGATTCTTTCTTCAGAAAGGGTCCCTGTGCTCTGCAGGTGCAGCTTCAATGGGCCGTGACCACACTGCCCCACTGCTATCAATCACAAGGCAACCCACAGCACCTGACAAACCACCACCTCCCACCCAGACTCGTGGGCTGGGGGTTAGGCAAAGGGAACAGTGAAGACAGTGGAGGGTCCCAGCGAGACAAATCACTGTGAACCTCTAACCATGCCTCCGGTGGATTCCTTTCTCTGGTAAAGTTTTCCTTTGTGGGTTTCTTTGAGCACTTGACCCATAGCCCATGGAATGTGTCAGCTTTAATTGCCTGTGTGGATTGGCACAAGTCATGCCTCAAAATTGGAACGCTGTCACATATAATGTAGTTTTTCAGAGGGATAGATGTGGAAAATGTTTTACCCGTGCATTCCTTAGAAGCAATTGTGCTCTGCCATGGGAAGGACTGAGGACCTGGACACAACCTAATGAGTACATTCCCGAGGTACCCAGGTTTTATTGGCTTTCAGGATGCTGCTGCCTTGCCCCCTCCCCCCAACCCCACGGACATCATACAGTGGTAATTGCCTGCTGGAGTATTCTGACACTGTGGTAGCCTGGGCACCTTTCCACGAGAAGGGGGTGACTGAAAGCTGAGGGCGAATGAGGGGTTTGAGGGCCTGGGATCCCTTCGTGTGAGACTCTTAATTGAAGAACAAGTCATGCAAGTACTGCCTGAGGACCAGATAATAGCTGCTAAGACAGTCTCCTTGTGACAGGGTGCAGAATATATGAAATCTGTCTTTAGTGGGTGATTCACTACTAAGAATAATGCCATGAGGTTGGCATCTGAGAAAAAGAAAAGACACTGGCATTGGTCGCGCACCTTTTCTGTGCCAGACATTGTGAACTTAATCTTGGCTTCTAGCAGTCAAGCCCTCATTGTGTGTTCATCTAAGGTTTGTTTGCTGGGGGGATCGATTGTGGTCCTCTTAAGCAATACAGGACTCTTCAGACAGATCAGTTCTTTGCTCCCTTTCTCTACCGCTGTCCTCATCAGACAGCTAGACACCAGCTAGACACCGGGAGAAGAACATGTTTGAAACAAACAGCAAGGTAGAGCAAAGATCATTTCATATGTCATAAATTCAGATAACTTTCTTCATTCTACAGAAACAATCCTCATCCAAGGTATACAGTCAAACATCAACATGCCGTTACAAAAAATTCAAAACATTATTCAGGGACCTGAAGCTAATACAAGATCCTGTTCAGTTTTGGAGGTAAAATTAGCCAAGTGTAAGTGGTCTCAACCATGAGATTGAGTTAACTTATCACAAGACCAGAACTTTCCATCAGCAGGGAGGGGCAATTAATAACTGTCTCCAGGGAAGGATGGTCTCTCTTCAAGAGAAGCCAGCATGAAAATTCCCATAGGAAGCGAAGGCCCACAGGAAACGTCTAGTTGAGATGATAAATCACAGATGGCCCTGCTTGTCAAACTTCCATTCCCGTCTCTTGCAGGCGCCATCATGTGAAGAAACTGCTTTCAACCTAGGGTACATCTTTTTGGGAAAATAACGGTCTGTGAGCTTCTAAATATCTTGTGATTGATAGTTGACATTTTCCCAAGAGATCGGGCCAGGCTCCTGCCATGCAATGGGATGGAGGCAAAGGATGTCCTTCTTAGATAGGAAAATTGCACTTGGAGAGCTAGGCAGACATACAAGAATCTCCTACTTGAAACTCGAAGCCAGGGAGCCAGACCAACCATCCATCCCAAAGAACACTTATAAGTAAAGATGGATGAACTAAAGGCTATCCCGTGTGACTCACTGGGCCACACGACAGCTTCCATGCCAAGATAGTGTGTATATTTTGTTGGCTATATTTTCAAAT